AATCACATGGGAAACATTAGTTACAGTCATAGTTGTGCAAATCCAAATCCATTGGCAACAAGTTTGCTTAATTCCTAGAGTTCATACCGGTAAGCTTTTTAGGAATCAGTCTCCGGCAAAAAGAAACAGCAAAATGTGCAAATCAGTGGCGATGGCTGCTAAAATAAGACACATCGGACTGCTTGCAGTTCTATCTTTCTTGCACTCTCCTCTCAATACACACCAAATTGAAAATAAAAGGAGCAGATGAGATACTAGGAACTATTGTTACACTTAGGTAAAGTTAAAACTGCTAGTCCAAAGAACATGGCTTTTCAGAAGAGAATAGGCAAATGACACTGTAACAAGATGAATAGCTACATAGAAATAGATATTTTTCTTTCCTTTGCTGTGAAAAATCAATAAGTTTTGTGATCATTGCCTGATAAAGAGAGATCATATAATCTGTTGAAATCCAACTATTTCAATTTTCAAGGGATGTGCTCCGGAAAGCACTGCCTTCTGCAAGGTGGTGGTTTGGTGGACCACAGAAACTTAGAGCAAATATTTGCTATGTGTTTGCATATGCCTTCAGAAATTTTGAGTGATTAGAGATGAAAGGTTTTGAATAAATTGTGTATCTGGCCCTCATTGTCTCTTTAACTTCTACAGCCTAAATGGAATAATGCACTACTAGAGATGTTCAGAATAGATTACAAAGGAACTTCTCCATACATCACTTGTGTACCATCTCTCCACCACCACAAATTAGGTCCCAAAGACAGATTTTTGGTATTATCTTCTGATGGTCTCTATCAATACTTGACAAACGAGGAGGCAGTGTCTGAGGTTGAACTTTTCATCACATTGCAACCTGAAGGAGATCCTGCCCAACATCTTGTTGAGGAAGTGCTGTTCCGAGCTGCAAAGAAAGCTGGTACTGTTCAAATATCAGGCTTACGAAATATTCCTTATTCTTTTCTTTTTCCTCTTCATCTTTGCTCCTCCTAATTCATTTTACTATGAATACTAAGTTTTAACATATTTGGTGTCGGTTATTTCAGGCATGGACTTTCACGAGTTACTTGAAATACCGCAGGGGGATAGACGGCGGTACCACGATGATGTTTCCGTCATAGTCATTTCTTTAGAGGGAAGGATATGGAGATCTTGTGGATAAGTAGTAAAAAACCAAAGATAGAAGATATAGAGAAATCTGCCAAAAAAAAGTTTGGGCATTTCCTTTTTGCTGTTTTTTTTCCTGGTCACCTTTGTAACATAGCAATTAAGCTCCTCAGTGGTCTGAGGAACTTAGCTGTGAAATGCACTGGGTGGTGAGGGGTGTAAAGGTGTAAAAGCTGGTTCATGTTGATTATAAACTGTCATAGAAATTGTAATTTTCTACTAATAAATGACATTCCTTTTTGTTCACCATTATCCCCACTATCACTTTCTGTTGTACTTTCTTTAAACGGTCCTATGGAGGTGGCAACACTAGTTGAGCATCTGCTGCACCTTTTGCTTCATTCTTTTACTAAACAATTCTATACTCGGATGGTGTAAAAAAATTGTGCTGGACAAAAATTCTTGCCTTTGAACTTGTTTTTGTAGCTTTTTCCCCCTTTTCAGGTCAACAAGGTTCCTTTTGTTGCTTAAAAGCTTGCAAGCTCATCATATAATATATAAATATGCTTTCATTTCTGCAGGCAATATTCCCCCCTGATTTAAAAACACATTTCTGTAGAATCTGGGAAAATACTGAGACTGATTTGTGCTACATCAAAGCCATCAATCTTCTGCTCAACCTCAAAAGCTCAAAACAGCTGATCAACTTTCTCTCTCTCTCTCTCTCTCTCTATATATATATATATATATATATATATTATTTTGGTCTTCTTCAACCCAAATGGTTTAGCAACAAAAGGTGTTAAAACCTTTCCCATGCTGAGCTAAAATTGGTCACTTCAAATTAAAGGCTGGAGATCCTTATTTTTCAAAGTCAGCAGCAGAACCAGAAGGAAATTAATTAAACAGGTATTATTTCAAGCAGCAGCCAGTGTCAAGTGCTTTCCTTTTTTGCTCATTTATTGATTGAGCAGTTTCTCATCTAGGTGAAAGTCATCAATGAACCCACACCGACCCAAAGCACAACTACACACAACCCATTAAATGAAGTAAAATTTAAAGGGAGGCTATTGCTCTTGTCAACTGAAAAATTGATTAAAACCTTCTGAAGAACAAGAAGGAGAAATAAAAGAACCACCCCAGTAAGTGACTCTTTGTGATTTATGTCAATGGCTCACTCCTAGTAGCAAATCCATGGCCCAGGGATGAGGTGTATAGGACCCTACTTCACTAAAAATTTGCCCATTATTCTCATAACTGCTAACTACTTTGGAATTGAAAGTAAATGCAGTGTCGTTGGGGAGCTTGATGCATGCCTCTTCAGCCATAAAAGCCTGTCATTTTTTCATTAAATTTCTAACCAAAGATTTCAGTCCCTCTGCCGCTTATAAATTGTGGCCTATCCCAAGCGTTTCCTTCGCTGCTAGGCCAAGAATCTTGGGCTGTCGGCCGATTTAAACACTGTAGACTGATATGTGAATCTCATAATCCGAATCTATTCTTGGACAGTTTTTTTTGGATAAAGATGATTACTAAAGATCCAAAACAGAAATCCTGACAGCTTGTGGGTTGAGCCTGTATTTTTAAGTAGAATCAAATTCATGTTAGACTGCTCCATCAGACCTTGGTTTTGTCTAAAAAACCTAGCCAGGCCAAGTTTGTAATTAGCTAGGCCCAATACGATGGATCGCTTTATATTATCTTTAGGCCTAGTTTAAGAGCAAAAAATTGCTAAAAGTATAGAAATTTGTTAAGAAATAGTTGAAATTATCTAAAAATTATGACTAATGCAATTTGTTATTTCTTCTTTCTTGTTTTTTTTTTTTTCAGATAATTGATTTGTTTTCTAACACGAGGATAAACCTCTACATTGCATTAAAACCTATTAAAACCCTCTTTCCCTAAATAATTAAATAAGGCTGGTCAAACTCGATTTTACATCTATGTTTATTTCATTAATATTTTTTTTATAAAAAAAATCATAATTTAAGAATAAAAAAATAATAAATATTAAAATTTAAAATTTAAAATTATTAAATATCATTTATTAAAAATAATTATATAAATCAATTAAATTAAATTTTAAATTTAATATTTCATCAAGATTAGACTCCATTTACCTCAACAAACATTGATAAATTTTGTTAAGGAATTCTAAATCACTTTACTTGTATGATATGAACAATTAGTCAAATGATACATAGAGACGACTCATTTGAGATCTTCTGTAATTCATTTTAATTTCCATCACAAGGTTCGACAAAAACACCATAGTCAACGATTTCAAGTTGGGATCTTGACTCAAGATTAATATATTGAGGTGATAGCGCTGACTGCTGCCACTGCGGGCACACCTGATGGAAGCTATTGATCAAATAAAAGTAGCACACGTGTCAGCCGATGTGGCGGTGATGGTAGGGGATCTAGCAATCTTCAAAATGCCGACATTTTCAACATCTCCGACCCCCCCCCCCCCCCAAAAAAAATCCGATGATTAAATGTCGTGGTTTGGGTGATTAGAATATAATTTCTCCCCGTCGGTATGCAGATGACATTTTCTTCAGCAATATCTTGGTACCTTCTTCAAATTTTAGATTAAGCTTTAAATTATTATTTTTAAAAATTTTTAATCTATTTTTAAATTTTTTAATATTAATTTAATAAAAAAATTTAACTCATAAAAAAATTTTAATTTATAATATTTAAATATCAATTTTAATTACGAAAAATAAGTCGGCATAAATTTATAATTATTAGATGATAATGAAACCTAATACACTAGCATAGAAAGCATCGGACAATGCCTTGAAAGTTGAAACACATCATCTGATGTTTGGGTTTGGTCCCAAAGTTGTAGCTAAGTCAAGTCCCAAACAACAAGTTGGAAATTAGGCAAATCTCATTTATTACAAGGAATATAAAAAGAAAAATGTCTAGGTCACACGTTATACTTGCATGGTAAAAATATGAAACTAATGTTGTTGGTCCGAGTGATTAAAAAATAATTTTTTAAAAATTAATCTTGATTTTAAGTTTAATAAATAAAAAAATAAATATTAAAAAAGTTTTTTTTTTTTAGATTTAATTCGATTTTGAATTAATTAAAATTTAAAATAATTATCAAGAGAGATTTCAAATAAAAAAATGAGAAAATTTCTTGAAAATTCTAAAAAAATTATAGTGTTTGCTAATAAATTTTACCTTAACATGTAGTTTGAATATGTGAAATATTGGTTTTGATATTGGACGTATTCATTGAAATTTTTTAAAAACATGGGATCTGGAACTCTTGTAAGTTCTAAGAACATGGGATTAGGAACTCTTGTAACTATTGATAATCCTTGAAATGAAAGGAAAATATTACTGTTATTCTATATGACTATATGCAACTAAGGAATTAAAATAAATATGCATATTTATTTTTTGTACATTGAGAATGACATTTTTTTAATTTTAAAAATAAAATAAAAAATATTATATGTTTTATTTTTTAATTATTTTATTTATTTATTATATTTTAAAAAGTATCTGTTACTTTTCTAAGCCTATTTGAAGAATTTAAAAGCTTTCCGGTCAGTGAATATGATAATTTTTCTCATATATATTATAGCCAAATTTACCACTTCCAGGTTACTTTCTCAGCTTCTCTCTCAACACCACCCTTGGCTTGTCTTGTCTCAAATAATAGGCTACTACAGTACTAATTTAGTCCCTGGAAATAGTAAAACCTACTTGTTCCTAGCAGCAATTACTTTTTCAAATTCAAAACCAAAGCACCCGCTACCCAACAGCAGGGAGATGTTGACTTTATCTGCATTGTTTTTTAATCCATTCTATGAAACTCCAAATCATACGGTGAACTTTACACAGCATTTTTTTTTTTGGGCAACCAAGACATTTCAAATTCCACCTATTTCCATCACTGAAATCAGCTTTGAAATCTTCTCCTCATTTAAACCATCCATTGTAGAGGGGATAGATATTTGGTCTAGTTTCATCTACTTCATTGAATTTCATTATCCTGATGGTTAAATAAAGTCTACCCATATCTAAAATCTTGATCTAGATTACATTTCTTGATTCAACTTTTCCTAATCTTTATTACATTAGACCATGTCCACCTTAAGCAAGAATCCTAGCAGCAACATGGGTTCTCCTTTCTTCCATGAATTCAAGAAACAAGCTTCTTTCTTTCTCAAGGAGAAGATCAAAACAGCTCGGTTAGCTTTAACTGATGTCACTCCTGCTCAGCTGTAAGTTTGTTTTTCTTTTGCTTTCTTGTCTTTGATATGTCTATTAGGCCAGCCAACTGTAGACTGTAGTTTTCTTCTTCTTCCTTGTATCTTTAATCCAAGATTTAGTTTTGATCTGGTTGTGTTTTTCTTTTGGTTCCTTTCTTTGTTATCTGCAGATTGACTGAAGAAGCAACAAATGGGAATACATGGGCACCAGAGACACGGACCCTGGGTTCCATTTCAAGGGCTGCTTTTGAATTAGATGATTACTGGAGAATTGTAGAAATTTTACACACGAAGTTTGTATCTCTCTTGGTTTCTTTCTTTTTTTTTTTTCTTTTTTATGAGATTTTACTTGTGTGATATTCCATTTGATCTTTTTTTGTACAAATCAGATTAGCGAAATTCGAAAGAAAGAAATGGAGAATCTCTTACAATTCTCTGATAGTTCTTGAACATTTGTTGACTCATGGACCCGAGAGTACAGCAGAGGAGTTTCAGGATGATAAAGATGTTATTTTAAAAATGCAAAGCTTTCAATACGTAGACGAGAAAGGGTTTGTCTAAAACTTCATTTGTCATTTGTCATTTTGTGGATCTTTACTTAGGAGATTTAAAATTTTTTATGTGCAGATTCAATTGGGGGTTAGCAGTTAGAAAGAAATCAGACAGAATCCTGAAGCTGCTTGAGAAAGGACCTGTTTTGAAAGAAGAGAGAGACCGAGCTCGGAAGCTAACAAGAGGGATCCAAGGCTTTGGGAGTTTCAGCCAGAGGTCTTCTTCAACACAATGCATTTTACAGGAATCACCACATGTACCATATGGAAGAAGTAATTCTGACTATAACGATCATGAAAATCAGGAAAATCAACTCCCACCTACAAATGAAGGTGGTTCGGTACAAAAAGTTGATAAATCAGAGCGGACCAATGAGAATGCACCCTTTTCGGTTGGCAGGAAACAGGAGATTTTGGAGTCTTGGAGCAGTTTCAGTGAAGGACAAATGTTCCAGAAACCCGAGGTTCAAACAAGTTTGAAAGAAAACTTGGCTCCCATCAAGGAAGAATTTCATAACTGGAGTACCATTGGGGAGTCTAATCCTCTCATGGGCAGTGACAATGAACTGAAGGCAGCAATTCTGATAGAAGATGATCACCCTTTCAACACCACTGAGAATCAAACTACTTCCTCAATGCTCCTTGCTAGAGATGGCATTCTCCAGGGATGTTGAGAGATTCTTTGGATTCTGAAGTTGTAAACTTATACTACAAGGTCTTACCTGTATTCCTACACCTGGTTGATTTTCAGTCAACTAAGTAGCTATGGTTTCTTGCTCTTCTTAAGCAGAAAATTGGTTTTTTTTTTTTTTTTGGTTTTTGAGGAATAGAAATTTCAAATTTGTAAGTTTAATTCAACAATCAACTTCACAAAATGTCTGGAATAGCGTAGAGATAAAATGCACACAATCAGATACAAGGTTTCTGATTGTCCTTCAAAATACTAGTGACTTACAACATATGAACATATATGATTGATACATCTAAATCAGCATCCTTTCCTCCAATAGTTTACAAAGCCATAAACAACCTCAAACTTTAATTTTTATAGTTATATTGATCATTGTACAAGGTAAAACAAATGAATTTTCTATCATTGATGACTGCACATTATAGTATACCAACACCCTGTGACTTCCAAGTGCTTGTCTGTCCATGCCAAACAAAGATTCTTAGAATCCGTTTCTTGCACACTATATGACACCCTCATTCTGATTTGGTCAATGCCTATGTTTTTGGTTGGGTTACTTGGGTACACAACCATGATGCATGAAGCCTAACTTGATGGCAAAGAAATCAGTGTGACCAATCCCCAATCGTTGCATAATCTACAATGGTGAAGCTAGGATGCTACTATATACACTTATAACATAGGCTACATGCATGCACGGAATAGAGAGAATTCAAGCTTTGCAAAGCCAGTCTTGAATTGCCTGACGTAATGCGTGGTTAGGAGTAAGATGCAAGTGACTCAATTTCAAATTGGTCATGGGTGAAGTTTCACGGCCATTTTCCAACCAGCCACGTATGGCTTCTCCTTCATATGTGAATCCATCTGCTGCCACTTGAGGGTCATGCATTATTTCCTGGAAAAGAGAACATATTACGTGTGAGATATATCGTATGGCAAAGTCACACCAATAAGATGTTAAGCAGCCTTGCACCTCAAATGTCAGAGTCCTGAACTAAAATTTGGCTCAAAGCAGCTTAGGCTGTAAAGAGTTTCAGTAGCACTTGTGATCCGGAAGTATCCCTAGAGCCTTTCCAGAGTTTCAAAAAGTTCAAGTTTCATAAACAATACTCTGCCTAATTACAACCTATCCACAAGCCCAAATCCTAGTTTGAAAGTAATGCTTCCAGATGTTTCATTTTTATGCAAGAGGTTATTTCTTTCTTTTTCCTTCTTTGTGCTGAAAGGTGTGTGAGTAATTATGTGTGCAGTACAGCACATACTTGGAGATGTCAAAAAACCACACAAGAAATTCCAATAAATTCTCTGGCCCAAAAAATTACAATAAACTCTACGCTAGTTTAGGATAGGTAAAAGGTTAAAAAGAGTTGAGAGTGCTAAAAAACAAATTCATCACCTCTTAGAGGAATTATAAAAGGAATCCAACTAAATTGAAGATAGCTTAAGCTATTAACTAGGTTTCAAGCGAACTGTCAAAAGCAGCTCAAAACGACCTGATTAGGTCATTGGCAAATTAATTCATTTAAGTGACATTGTCATCAATGAGTATTGAAAGAGTCCTAAACTCCTATTATTTGATATTGTCATATATGAACTGGAAGACGCTCACCTGAAGGATCGGGCACAAAAAGAAAGATGGCACTGGCCGCTCCTCAGAGATATGCAACTGCCCCAGTTCCCTCACCAGAGATGGTCTTAGATCAGGCCGATCCCTACCATACAACTCACAGCATTGCAGCCCTAGATCCACCAAACGCCTTGCCACAAACGTAGGCCATTCTCCAGCTGATGTATCCAGAATTGATGCTAATTTACCACATGACACAGCTTTCCGCACCTCACCTGCTAACCCAACTGGTGGCCTCCCAGTGAGTATCTGTAGAATGATCAACCCAAAGGCATAAATATCAGACTTGGGAGTCAGGACTCCAATCCTATGAAACTCTGGATCTGAATATGGAAAAGCACCCTTTGGCTCACTACTACGTCGGAAACTTGGGCAATATAGAGTATCCTCAGTTACCAGCCTTGAGATACCAAAATCACATATCTTGCAGCTTAATTCTGAATCAAGAAGAATGTTTTCAGGTTTCAAATCGCCATGGACAATTTTTTCAGGTTTGTTACAGTGCAAAAAGCAAAGAGCACTAGAGATTTCAGCTACTATCCGAGCTCGGGTCTCCCATGTCAGGGGAGAAACACTTGTTTTCTTGAAAAGCCGATCTTGGAGACTTCCTTTGGGTAAGTATTCGTATACTAGGGACCAGGCTTCAGGGCATACACCAAGCAAAGTCACCAGATGAGGATGTTGTAATTTGCTGAGAACTTGAGCCTGCACCATAAATATACAAACATATTATTACACAGAAAATTACAACTGTAGACTAGTAGGGTATATATAATGAAAAATTAAAACTCAAAGACTAGTAGGCAGTCTTCTCACAGGCAGAAAATTTTGATAAATTTGGGTTACACCAAGGTGTAAACAACCCATGCGCATTTGTGGAAGAGAAGGAAATAAAGAATAATCAATTGCTGAAGCAGTGGCACAGAAGAAAATCAACACAAACTTGTTTCTATTGTGATAGGGAAAACAACTATACTGCTAGAGGAAGCTAGAGAGAGAGAGAGAGAGATAGAGATGGCAACCTCCTGCCGAAACTCTGATTGCCCTTGCATGTTATGTGGATACAGCTTTTTTATAGCAACAGTTCGACCCAGCATTTCCCCCTTGTAAACACAACCATGTCCTCCCATTCCAATTTTGAAGCTCTCAGAAAAATTGCATGTTGCAGCTTCGACATCTGCCAATGAAAATACAGCTAACTCAGGCAAATCTTCGACAAGCCCAATGAAACCATTACAAGTAGCAGCTCCAGCTTCCCCACGACTTCTCCAACGTTCTAACCAGCGAACAGCTTCCAGTTTTTGCTGTCTGATTCTCTGCTTTTCCTGTCGTAAAGTTGCAATGGATGCTTTGATAAGTTTCAATTCTCCATCAGCTTCATCATGCCTACAATTTGCTTCTTGAGCACGACTGTTTAGTAGAGCAACATTTCTCATGGTCTTCTGTAGCTCTCTTGTTACTTCTTCTTTTTCTTTTATGAGCTTTTCTTGTCCTTGCATGGTAGTTCTAAGGGCTTCCTCAGCTTGTTTTCTAAGTATAACTTCATGAACATGGGCAGATTCAAAATCTTTGAGCTGAAAAGAATCAGATCTCTAAACTTTTAGAAGAACACCCAACAAAATCCAAAAGTTTAACCTTACTTATATTACTTTCCTTATCATCATGTGTTCCAATTTAGAATCCCTAAAAACTGTGTAAGCAGATTTGCTAATATATTCAATCAAATTCATTTTATATCTTAACTAATACTTTTCATGAAAGCCAACAGAAAAAAGATTCAGAACATGCTAAGAAGCAGGGATGAAAAGGGTTGCATTTTCATTCCAAGTTCTCTTGCTTTCAGTATAAGTCTATTAATACCATAATATGAAACACCAACAATATGAAACAGCAATGAAATAAGAGAAATGCACTGCAAAAGATGCCATAAATTCGCCCGCTTGATTGAAATAATGAACTGCAAGATACACAATCAAAGTCCCTTCAATGGAGTGTGGATACCTACCTTGTTGATAGCTTCAATAGCTTCTGATTCCAATTTTTGGCATTTCAGTGACTCTGCTAATGCTTCATTCCTTGATGCCTCAGCTTCCATACTTGCTTCTCTGAGCCGACTGCATAGACTTTCCTCCTCATACTTTGAATAAGAATCTAAAGACAATGTCATTTCAGAAGAAGCACTTTCGGAGCCAGAAGTACAACTTGGGCTAGAGAAAATCCGATAGTAGTGGGGGGAATATCTAGTGGCAAAACTAGATAATGTGGGTGTCAGGGACACATCCATATGATCTGGTTCACTCTCAGTCAATGGGGTAGTTCCGGCAAAGGTTATACTTTGAGCAGATTTAGAATGAAGATTTTCTGGGTGGACTAAAGAGTCAACCTTACTACGTGGCAGTGAGTTAGCCAGCATTTGTGCAGTAGTAGTGGCTTGAACAACTAATGGCAAAGAACCTGGGTCTTCAGAGGCTTCCCTTGTCCGCACAAGTTTCCCTTTGTTGATAAACCATATATCACAGAAGCAGGGAGCATTTCTAGCAACATAACTTGATTTGCTGGAGCTCTTTTTCATCATCCTGCAACTGAATTAAGCCAAGGGTGAAGATTATTCTTAAGCACACCACGGGAACAAAACCTAAGTGATCTATTATTTGCACCCAATGGGAGGAGAGATGAAATGATTGATAAACACTTGCGCTATCCCAAAAATAAATCTCCATACTAGACTTAGTGTACAATATGTTCTAAAGTCACTCATTCAAAAAGGAAAAAAAAAAAAAAAGAAGAAGAAGAAGAAGAAAGAAATGAAATGCAGAAGAAGTAAGAGTCTTGCACATTAAAAATAGAAAAGCAGACATAATTTGGAATATTTCAAAAATGGAAAGGTGAAAATTCAATTTTTTGGACAGGAGTACTTACTTTTCTGGTGTGGCACCCATAACAAGGTTCCTAATACTGTGTCTCTTAACCAGTTCTAAAATTCCCTTATGAACCTGGTCAGCTTCAATGGTGATAATGCTTGTCTTCACCTGCAAAGTGAATTCTTTGAAAATGAGGCCACTAAATCATGGAACACAGCAAAGGTATCCGAATTTTCCTCGTAAGATTAAACCTATAATCACTTAAAACTGACTGAAGAAAGAAGGTTCTGATAAAGCAAAAACATCCAAATTTCTTATGTCTAGAAAGTCTCGTCTCAATCATATTTGGCGGTTATGATATAAGTCATACGCTACAGATTGTAGAATTCAATTTCCCTAATGAAGCCCAAAATTAAAAAACCTGCTGGCCTAGAAGAGAAACAGAGATACCATACCTTTAATTTTCTGCAAACACTCAAGTAATTTTCTAAACGCTTCTTCAATTCTTCCTTCTCCTTCCTTCTATAAGCAGAAACAACTTCATCATTGGCTTGACTTGCTGGTAGTTTCCCCACTGCCAAATTATGACAACCAACAATATATTATTAACAAAAACTTTACATGAAACAAGTAACTTATTAGACTGCTCGAGGAAAGAGATCTGAATACTGAATCCAACAAGTACCATGGATCACATTTAGTTTAACAACGAATACCCAGAAGTTAATAATAAATTTATTTAAGTTCAGCTCAAATTAGTCCATTTTACAAATACTTTAACAACTTCCTCATTGTCTTTGGGAACTCATTCCTTCTTCTTGGCATGATCTATTTTTATTTTTACTTTTCTTAATAATAATTAAAAAAAAAAAAAACAGAAAGAAAACCCCAAAACATAATTGAAAAAACAAAACATTTCCCATTTGAAGAAAACAATGATCTTCATCAAAGACACGCAAAAAAAAAAAAACATAAAAAGCAGAGAAAACCCAACATTAACTAACTATTCCCAACAAAGTCATAGTATAAAACAAAATTGTATCCAGACAAAGAGAGAGAGGTTTTACATAAAGTGGGGATCAGTGGAGAGGGCTGGTGAACGTGAAGCAAACAAATATCTTTACCACCAAACCGCCCCAATGTCCAAAGTATCAAATTAACCGCTTTCTCGGCCGACTTTCCCACTGCTACAAAAACTTTATCTTTTTCCCCAGCGCCACCTCCACCAGCTTCCTCTGCTATTTCCGACAACCGGGTACTCGCCGGACGGTCAACTTCACGACTGAAACTGAACCCTGAAATGGGTTCTCGCGTCGGGTCCTGGTGAGGCAGGTGGGCCGGGTTTAGGAGCTCCATTTAGTTTGGGAGAGAAGAGAAGTTCACTGGTTTTTTTTTATCCTCAAAGGGGTCTTTTCATGACAATGTTTCGCAATTGAGATGAAAAGAAGTGAGATCTTTTTTCAATTTTATGGATGGAAATTGGAATTAAAAGATTCTTTTTTTCTGGGTTACAGTTTCTGCGAAAGGAGGCAGGAGGCTTGACTTTTCTGTTGACTCGATTAGAGAGAGAGAGAGAGAGAGAGAAAGAGAAGATTTGTCGGAGTAAGTAGAAAATTTATGTATTGAATTATTGAGATGAATGATCATCTGCAACTTTGAGAAAAAAATGGTTACCTTTTTTTTTTTTAATTTATAGATGTTTAAATTTGAATTTTAAATTTATAAAATTGAACTTTTAAATACCGTTGAGTGATTTAACTAAGCTAAATTATTGATTTTAAGCTAAGCCTCTTTGATTTGGTTACATAGGTTTTACCAGGTGTTTTCTTCATTTTTTTTAATTATTTTTGTTAAATAATATTAGAAAAAATTAAGAAAAATGTGTTTGTCTTAAACAATAATAGGAGAAACTTTAAAAAATAAATTGCCTTAAATAAATTTTAATTAACACAATTGATCTCAAATACTAACCAAAAAATAATCTTCAATTTTTACTCATATATCTTTTTTCTTTGTGTTTAAAATTTTATTTTTGAAATTTAGTTTAATTTGAACTTGAAGCTTATCATGAACAATATAAGACAGAAATCAAGATTACCTACCCTTGCATAGATATAATTAAAAATTAATATGTTTTCACTAGTGAAGCAGGTTACTGGTGCAAAACTTTGTTAAAGAAAAAATGAGCTGGCGTGAAAATGACAGCAGTTGCCAGAGAAAATAGGTTCAAAGCTTGGTTTTAGTCAAATAGGCACTGCCACTGACCAAATGTTTGTTTGGAAAATGTCGTTTTTGGTATTTTAGCACGCTTGTATCTTTCGTAGTCTTTTCTAATTTTTTCCCTTTTTTTTTTTTTTTTTAAGTAAACACGTTTTAGATAAAAATGATGCCCTTATTGTTTAAGTGATTCATAACCCATTATTATTAAAGATATAAATAATATTTTAATACTTATAAATTATTTAAATTCGATTTAAATAAAATTTAAATTTGATTCGATTATTATATCAATCGAATTAAATTTGAATATTTTTATATTTGATTTAAATAGTTCATAAATTTAATTAATTTTTTTATTTTAATATATTTAATTATTTTAATTAATAAAATATTTTGAATTCGAATTTAAATTTTAACATAAATAATTAAATTTTTATCAAATATAAAAATTAAAATTATTTTTACATGTTAATCGAATCTAAGAGTTTGAGTAACTCGATTTTTATTTTAAGTCAAGTTTGAATTAAAAAAAAAAAACTCGATCAAATTCGAATCAAGTTTCAAGCTTCGAATTTGAAATCGAATTCAAACTCGAGTTTGGTATTGATTTAAACTCGATTGATTATACCCTTAATTATTACTAGCAAGCCCTTTTAATTTATGAGAGATTTGAGGAAGCGTTTGGCAAATTAGCCGTGGGGGATTGCATTAAAAGCATACCACAATTGCGAATAAGAATGCAAATGAGTCTAAGTTATTCGTGAGTTAACGGTGCAAATAGTTCATTGCTTCGACAATATGAACATTAAGAAAATATGAGAAATAGGGGGAAAAAATAAGAAAATTTAAGAGAAACAGCATAGATCAAAAACTTGCGAGCTGAAATTGGTTTGCCAAAAAACAAGACATTACTTTTACGCCTCCTGCATTCTGAAGAATTAGAAGCACTTCCTGTGCACAATAGATGGGCCAGATTCATCATACTCTGCCTTAGCAATCCACATCTGCATTCCAATTACAATGAATAAATGTCTTTAGTACAGTGTATGAAGCTTACTAGAGTGAAAATGAAAAGCAAGAAGGAAGATATATGAATACTGTTTAGTTCAGATGTTGAATTAAACAAACTATTTCTGGCAAAGCACCATTCATGAAGTAGAAGAAGCTAATGGAGAGAAAATACTAAAAATAGCAAAACATATGTCCCAAATGCCCTCCTCAACAATAAAAATAAAAAGCACTTTTATATGAATGGTAAAAGCATTTAGTCTGTTATATGAACAGCAACTACATGCATTCGGCATCACAAGTTAGATAATACCTGCTGGAAAGTACTAAGAGATGCCAAGATGGAGCCTCCAATCCAGACACTGTATTTCCTTTCAGGTGGAGCCACCACCTTAATTTTCATGCTGCTTGGGGCCAAGGCAGTGATTTCCTTGCTCATTCTGTCGGCAATTCCTGGGAACATGGTAGTTCCACCACTAAGAACAATGTTTCCATACAAATCCTTCCTGATATCTACGTCACACTTCATGATAGAATTGTATGTGGTTTCATGAATGCCAGAAGCTTCCATTCCAATCATCGAAGGCTGGAAAAGGACTTCTGGGCATCGGAAACGCTCAGCACCAATTGTGATCACCTGGCCATCAGGTAACTCATAGCTCTTCTCAATGGCAGAACTAGTTTTGGAAGTTTCGAGCTCTTGCTCGTAGTCAAGTGCAATATATGCCAGCTTCTCTTTCATGTCCCTCACAATTTCACGCTCAGCTGTAGTGGTGAATGAATAACCACGCTCAGTCAAGATTTTCATTAGGGCATCTGTAAGGTCACGACCTGCTAGGTCAAGACGGAGGATGGCATGCGGTAGGGCATAACCTTCATAAATGGGGACAGTATGGCTCACACCATCTCCAGAGTCCAGAACAATACCTACATAAAGTATCGTAGAGGACAGTTAATAGATGAAATATTGGCAGGGTACACATAAATTACAAAGATACTGATGTTAATTTCTAAGTATAAGTTATAGGTGTTGGATGACGAAGACTTTATAATCATTATGAAAATCACTATATGAACATAAAATCAATAGAAACAGGACAAGTGGAAGAAATAGGAACCAATTTGAGGTCACTTCACATTTTCCCCTAATTAATCTGCAAACAAAATCCTTCAGGATGCTAAGTATGTTTTGAACTAAAGAGCAAATTTGTGTTTGAGATTGTTCAACTCGAGTTTTATCCATGATATTGAGAGTAATCAATTGCTTACCAGTTGTGCGACCACTGGCATAAAGGGAGAGAACAGCCTGGATAGCAACATACATGGCAGGAGCATTGAAGGTCTCAAACATGATTTGGGTCATTTTCTCACGATTGGCTTTTGGGTTGAGAGGTGCCTCGGTGAGAAGAACTGGATGTTCTTCTGGAGCCACACGGAGTTCATTGTAGAAGGTGTGATGCCATATCTTTTCCATATCATCCCAGTTGCTAACAATACCATGTTCAATAGGGTATTTAAGAGTTAGAATACCTCGCTTGGACTGAGCCTCATCCCCAACATATGCATCTTTCTGACCCATGCCAACCATCACACCAGTGTGACGTGGACGACCCACAATGCTAGGGAACACGGCCCTTGGAGCATCATCTCCCGCAAATCCAGCCTAAATAGAGCAAAAGGCATCATTGAAAAAGATCACACATAAATCTAAAACCAACAGCTTAGAACACCAGATCACTCATAAAAATATGAAAGACAAGAGTATCCTGATTCGATACCTTAACCATCCCAGTTCCATTATCACAAACAAGTGGTTGAATATCCTCACCATCTGCCATCTTGTATCACCAGCTGAAATAAAACATCAAAATTAGATCAACTTCACAACAATAAGGGAAGCAGTCCACAATGCAACAACCATGATTTGAGTCATTTATGAGCCAAGACATAACATCAAAGCATCCCCACATATGAAAAATAAAATTTGTGAGAAAATTCCTAGTCCACAAATAAATAATACAATGAATTAATTAGAGAACAGAATCCCTTTTGATTGATAAAAAAATTAGAAACACAGAAAGAAAAAAGCTAATTTATTGAACATGAGTGAAAATGAAACTATAAATCATCCAAGATCCAATCATTAGAAGGTAAAGAATCACAAATTATCCAGTGATTACAAACAAGAACCATTAAATCAATTGAAACAAGAACAGATACATACAATTCATACAAAATTATCAAAATGCCAAATCAAAATCAGATAAAAAAAACCAACAATATAAGTAATATTACATAATAAAACGGGAATCTTGAAATATCAATTTATTGTCTATTTTCTCTTTTTCCTCTATTTTCTCAGGAAACAAACAGAAGGGAAAGAGAAATCACCTGCGCAAAAGCAATTGCAAAAGGAAAACCAGAGAAAGATGATCCGAGCTGCCCCGCCCTTTGGGTTCCAAGAGAGAATTTAAAAAAATAAATGGTAAGTGAATAATAATGAACTTTTTTAAATTCAAAACGCGAATGGAAAGCCTCTTGGTTGTTTTTAAAATTTTTACCGGGTCCTTCGGTTGTATGCTCGTTTCAAGGTTAAGGAGCGCTTCAACAGCGCCAAAAACCGGTAAAACCGGTTTCCCATCCATCTTAAATAATTTTCTTTGTATTCTATATATAATATGTCTTCGTTATTTCATTAATATTAACAAACAAAAATAAGTCAGATTATAAACAAGATAGTAAAATTTTCCTTTTTTATTTTTTATAAGGATTTTCACTTTAAATTTTCAAGAAAAAAAGATTTAGAAACTTTATATATTAAATTTAAATTAAAACTTAATAAAAAAAATTACCGATGATTTTGATTTTGAATTTTATTTGGATAAAAAGTTAGCGAAGAAACTTATTAAGTTTTTCTTTTTTGTTTTTTAAGTTATGGTTAGGTTTTGAATTTTTTTAATTTTTAAATAATTTCAATATCATTGAGATAACGACTCATTAATAATTTTTAATTATTTTGATTATTGTTGAAAAAAAAAAGAAAATTCAAATTTGATAATTTTTTTTTTTTTTTTTACGCAAGGTTTTGAATGTGTAATATTGAGGCAATCAGGCAAATGCCTCAACTAAATTAGTATAGTGTTTGAAAGTGGAGATAGTTGGTTGGTAAATCTATGCAAAGTAATTATGTAAATCTCAATAGTTCTCTACTGTATTGTGTTTTTCTTCTAGACAAAGTAATTATTTTAGGAGTAAGTCAATTAAAATTTATTTTACAATCATCCAATTTTAATCATGAATTATGTATGGTTCACATAATATTTTTGTGATTAAAAAACTAATGATAGCTAATCGAG